ATGTATACATTTTTAAGTTCAACTGAACTTTAAAAAAACACAGGAACTAAATTTGGAACACTACAGACTAACTGAATATTATTACAGGAGGAAATAAGAACTAGACAGATAATGCAAACTTACAAATTTTAGATACTGTTTGTTAGGATTAGGATAATTTACAGGTTTGATCCATTCTCTTGAAGTATTCGTCACTTGTTCCCACAGAACCATATAATGCATTAGAACTCTAGTGCCTGATTGTCAGCTTCTTTAGAAGCATTGTTTTATTCCTTCTTTCTATAGATTAGCATAGTTTGAATTTGATAGGTTCTTTTTTTCGTCAATGTCTTGAGCCTTTAGAGATGAAAATTCTATTATCGCTGGTTTCTGTGATCCAGAGTGGAATTGTATAGGTGTAAATTGCATTGTTCACAAATTCTTACCACATTCATACTGCTCCTCTTAGAGGATGGTTCATAGATTTATACTGAAGGGAACAAAGCAATGTTTCTCTATCTGCTGCTTGTTCAATTACATTGAAGAAAGTTTTTGAAGTGAGCTCAGATGATAATACTTTTTAACTAGTGGGTTATGCTTGTGACATACATATAGACCCATAAATATCCCATTGGTCTCCACTTCATGTACTGTGCAGCAAGGTACATAATTAAATTCTGTAAGTCAACAACACTCCACTCATTCTCACTTAGGAAATTCTACCTAGATATGAGAATTCTACCACTCAGCTATGAAAGCTGGCTGGCAATTCATGTAGCCTCATCACTGAATTCCCAAACGTAAATCTTGACTGTTCCCACTTCAATTCGTAGATGGAGGCTGAGATGATTGAATATATCTTTTCCCACCTTTTCATCCGGTACAAATAATTGTAGCACAGGGATTAATGCCTTGAGCACTAAAACAAGGTTATTTTTTCTGAACTTTTTGGTTTTCCCAAGTCTGGTGCTATCTAAATAGTTTGGACTAGATTTCCACAAATTTCATGTCAGAGAAATCTGACTTAGGTGTTTCTGGACAACTCAACATTTTTACACAACTGATACGGTTATACTAAATCCAAAAAAGCTCCTTGCATGTAGTAGAAACTAATTAAAGATATTACAGTGTACTGGTAATCTTACAGTGATAATGAGATAAAATGTGTGAAGCATTTCCAATACACAGTGCTTTATATACATTGAGTATTGTTATTTGAAAAGTCTGCTCTCAAATAATTGCGGGAGATGTAGGATATCCTAAGCCAGTATTAATACGCAGTAATAATTGCTTATTGATATAGATATCAACACAAAGGGGGAAAAGATTTAGAAACTGAAATGAGTCAGACTTGCCAGTTGAATAAATATTGTTTAAAATTACAGAATTAATTTAGAATCAATAAAATTATAAAATTATAATTTCTATGCCATGGAAGAGTTGATCTTTATTTCCAAAAGAATTTCAGCTCATTACAGAGTTTGCTTCCCTATTTTGAATGAGGATCATTCATATTGTATACTATAATATTTTTTTTCACAACTACTGTATAATTAAGTAGTTGTATAATATGGTTAAACATTGCAACAAATAGCAACACATAACATTTGTATTACAATTAGATCTAAGTTTCATTTTTTAAAATAACTTATTACCAAAAAAAATAGAAAAGAAATGGAAGAGCCAAGTTAAATCTTTTGAGAGAAGAGAAGAAAATATTCCTAAGCTTGAGCCCTAAAAAAGTATTCCAATTTCTACATATTTGGTACAAGTTTACAGATGCCACAAAATGGAAACCATTTAGCAATTCTTTCATTTTTGAAGTAAAATTCAAAGGAGCAAAGCTTTATACAGAACTATCAAATGTGGATCACCTAAATGACAAACTTGGGTAGGGGTGTTTTTTTTAAACAATATAGAATTTTTACTTTTTCTAAAAAATAAAAATATTTCTAAAAAATCCCTACAAACTCACAAGTGAAGAAAGATACACAAGGATAATACAAATGTACTCAATATGGAAAACCTTTACCAAGTTTACTTCATACAGCAAATAATACTATATTTGTAGGTGAAAATTAATATAGCTTGTGTCCAGTTTCCAATACAGGTAGTCCTCCACTTACAACAGTTCACTTAGTGACTGTTCAAAGTTACAACAGCACTGGAAAAAGTGACTTATGACCATTTTTCACACTTATGGCCGTTGCACATCCCCATGGCCATGTGATTCACATTCAGATACTTGACAACTGATTCACATTTATGATAGTTGCACTGTCCCGGGATCATGTTTTGCAATCTTCTGGCAAGCAAAGTCAATGGGAAGACCAGATTCACTTAACAACCATTTAACAACTGCAGTGATTCACTTAACAAATGTGACAAGAAAAGTTGCAAAATGGGGTAAAACTCACTTAAGAAATTTCTCACTTAGCAACATAAATTTTGGGCTGAATTGTCATCAAATGAGGGGACGTCATTTCTAACAAAAGGCAGAGTTTTCTTTATATTTGTAATTGTGCCTACTGATGATTCAGAGTTTGGTAGCTAAATTTTCATACCCCTACAATAGTGTTTTAATGGTATCAGAAAGTACTTCTTTGCACCCAAGACCATTGCTCCCATTACACAAATTCTCATTCGGCAGTTTTAGTTAAAATATTGCAAAATAATCTCCAATCCTCTTATTTTTTTTCTGAGGGATCATCATTATTGCCCTTGGGTTGGCTCAGCTTGGATGGCTCATTTCACCTGGTGTGAATTAGTTAGCCAATAATCACAAAGGCGAGTAGGAACACATTAAAAACATATTTTCTGTAGGGAAGTCAAAAACTAAGGTTTGGGATTAGAGCCACAAATTAAGTGTAGCCTGCATGTCCTCACAGCAGCTTTAAATACTTAACAGATCTCATCAGAAGACATCTTCAGTTCTGATTGGTCGGATTAGATTTACCTCACCACACACCTTAGCTTTCTCCATCTCTGGGCAGATTTCCAAACTTCGTGGGGGCATCCAGTGATTTATGCTAACCTTCATTTGACCTTGGATAGTTTCCTTGCTCCGGCAGAGTTCTCTTTACTGTGGTGCCATCACTTGTGCCCAATTTTGCACAAATGGGAGTGCTTTCTGTCAGTAAAACTGTTTCCAAACTTAAGGTTACGCGCTTAGTCACTGAGAGGCATGCTAGGAGCCCCATTTCAAAACCAATGATTTTGCCCAGGACAAATTTTATTTAACTTAATTATATTTTGTCGTAATTAACCATCACTACTACAACTATTCTCCAGCCATTATGAATAATCTGCCCCTTCCATTGTGTACAAAAATGAGGGTTTTGTACTTTTTCGCTGTCTCAGGATCCCTGGAGATTCACTGTGTGCCTCTGTGTGAGTGGTAGACAGAAGTGCTGACTAGCTTGCTTCATACAATTAACAAAGGCATAGTTTGCTTAATTTCAGTTTGTTTAGATCATAATCATTATGAATGGGGGGAGGCTTAGTTTGCAATAAAACCCTATCAAAATCTATGCAGACCGCACTGTGAAAGCCCTTAACTTAGTACCTTCAGTGATCCGCTCAATTTTCTTCTACTAGCAAACCATTTTTTTTAAATAACTCCAGGCTTAGTCAGCAGGTTGCAAATCCAATTGAAACATTCTTCCACATGGTCTACCTACTTATTATTTGTCTCATTTCACTGGCACATCATATTTGATGAAATCCATCAGGAAGTTTCTGTTGATCAAAAACAGCAGTATGGAAAACAGCCCACGGCATTAGGCAGCCATGCTGGTTTTCTTCCCCATAAAATCCAATCCTTGGGCCCATCACACTTTCTCAGCCCAAGTCACCTCAGAGGGTGGATGTTGTGGGGGAAAATAAGGAGGAGGAAAGTGTGTTGGATAAGTTTGCTGCCTTGCATTATTTTTAAAAATAATAAAGGCACCCTATAAGTAAATAGAGGCCCCAAAACAATCCAATCTCCAGTTCCTTCTTAGCTGAATGGGAGGGATCCCAAATCGTGGCCTGACTTCCATTTTTAAAAAGGAACTGCCTCAAGCAGAAATAGGGATTAATGGATTACACTTAAGCCACTGCCTGTTATCAAAGACAAAACCGACCTTATACTGCATCATCTTTGGATTGTTTTCATTTATTTTTAATGTAAACCCTACCTCACTTTTTATTTGTGTTAACTAATGGTGCCTAACAGCCCTGTATTTATAAGTAAGTTGAACAGAGAATGGGAATGGATGGTGCTTGCTTTTTATTTCTCCACTCAGTGGCACTTTCTTGGCTGCATGTCAGACAGAATGAACCTGGGGAATTTCTGCCTGTCATTACTGCTGCTGATAGTAAGAGGAGGGTTTTTTTCATTAAGCTTCTATGTATGAATCCATTTAACCAGGCTCGGAAGTAGTGATTATTTCCACATTATCCAGTGAGCTTTAGGGCAGGGGTGTCAAACTTGTATCATCATGGCGGCATCACATTACGTACCAGGACTTTTTCTCCCTTTGCTAAACCAGGAGGGGGAAGGGCCAGCACGTGACGCATCCAGCCCACAGGCTGCGAGTTTGACATCCCTGCTTTAGGGACTAAACTATACTATAGTGTAGCCCCAGTCTTTGATTCATTTTACTGTGCCCCTTAACATCCTAACTGCAAGAGCAACATGGTCATGAGATATTAGTTACTCCACAAGAAGTTACTTTAATTCTGGATATGCAGATGTTTCTCACTTATTCAAGAGGCACTGCATTTCTCTCTCTAAGTAACACCACCATGCTTGTCAAAATCCAGAGAAACTTGCTCCTAAACTCATTTAAAATTGTGGCAGCAATGATTTTTTTTGTTTGTGTTGCTCAGCTTCTATAATTATTTTTGGCAACTAAACATAAGGATCACAACATATGCAAGTGCTCCTTACAACATATAAATAATACTTTTACTATTTTGTCCAACAGTAGGTAACTTTTAAATGGGCTTGCATTCTAGGAATATTAGTGATTGCCAAAATGTCTGCAAGTTGTGGTCAAGAAAAAATACGATGGATTACTACAATCATTCTGAGTTCATCTCTCCAGGTAACATATGTCATGAATGCTCTCACCAAAAGGCTGTCAATTGGAAGGGTTGCCTATTCATAAGCCGGTTACACAGAAACAGCAAGGCCAGGCACCAAACATTAATTTATATTCATGCTGGTGATGTTATTTCTCTTTATCCTCCTCTAGCCCTCCTGTAGTCTCATCAATATAATTTATTTGTATTTGTTTGCTTATTTTGGGGAAGGTGTTTTTTGTCTAAGCTAAACCATCAGCTGCAGACACCCATCCTTGTTTCAGCTGGAAGGCTTCTAAGCCTATATGGAATCTCCAACCCAAGTATTCTCAAATTGCCTATCCCAGGAGTTGGCAACCTTAAACTCTCAAAGAGCCACAAAGGTCCTAACCGGAAGCCCCCTGTTCAATTCTGGAGCCGACCAGACTCTGGCAGTTCCCCCACCATAAAGTCTCCTCCTAGCGCTGTGTTCTTTTTCCTCTACCTGTCCTAACCAAAAGCCCTATCAATTGTAGAGCTGACTGGCAACAGGGAGCCCAGCAGAGGGATGAAAGAGCTGCAGGTTGCTGACCCCTGGCCTATCCCAATGTTAGATGCAATTATGTTACTGGAACGAACAAATAACTATTGAAGAATCACAACATTGCTTATATGTGGAGAGAAAGGAAGCAACCACAACTATTTAATCTTTTAAAATAGTGGGATGTGTTTGCACAGCACACTAGACTATCCTTGCTACCTGACAAAGTTTATAATTTGTTTTGATTAATTGTGTTGTCTTTTTCTTCTTTTCTCTTATAGACTCTTCCTTTAGTTAACTAATAGCAATCAGACCGCACATTGAATAGTCTCATGAGAAAGATGCAATGGAGAAAACTACATAGAAAATTTTATCTAGATTCTCTTTGCATTCAAGGAGATTGATACATCTATAAAGTGATCTCTATTATTACTCAATTTGTTATTTTTATAAATAACTCAAGATGGCAAACATACTTAATACCTATTTTTTAAAAAATAGCATTTCTGAATAGATGAGTAGAAAAATTGAGAAAATTTAATTAGCCTATCTCAGGATGATAATGCTTAGGTAACTGAGAATGATTACATATCTAACTATGTTTGCTTGCATGTTTTTAATGATTTTGAATTCTTTAGCAAGCTCAAAACAGCTCTGAAACTGTGTTGTTGAAAAAATAACGGTACAACTTTTTAAATAAAACATTGCAACCTCACAGCATTTTATTTTAGTGGGCTGAAGATGGAAATATATTAATTTTTAAACTAAAAAGTGCAGAAAAATGATTTTCTCATAAGCCAAGTAACTGAAACACTGTATGAGGCGTATTATTCAATTATACACTTTACTTCCACAGACTGGGATTTTAGAAAATAATCTTGTTTAACGTTAGAAAAAAAATACCAGATCTGATAACAGCAGTCAGCTAACAAATCCAAAATAAATTTCAATATGCAAGGGGAGCATGACTCCCTACAAGGTTGGAGGGAGAAGAAAAGACAATATAATTAGTTTTATTCCATAATTGGAACACCCATAAGTATTTTTATCAGCTTTTGCAAAGACAGGGCTTAGCTAGATGGGCCTTGGATTGATCCAGCATAACAAAGATTGCAGGGTTTTTAAAATTTATGTATATTAAAACTATTGTGAATAATGACCATTCTACTTAAGGGACAGAATATATTTTAATATATGATTTTGTTACTTATTTAGGATCATGAAATTTCAACAACCTTACAAAATCAGCAACACCGAGTTCGTTATTCAGATTCAGTGGAAGATGGATCTATTATTTTCTCACTTTCTGGTATTACTATAGTTTTTCATTTTCCCCATAACAGCAACCCTATGAGGTGGTTTAGGTTTTGAGACAGAGTAACTGGCCAAAAGTCAGCAGCTAGCTTTCATGCCTAAAGGAGACCTAGAACACATGATCCCCAGCATCTTAATCACTACACCAAAATGGCTTCTTTAAATTAAATAAATGCGCTAACAAGCATAAACCTAATTTTTAAAAAAGAAAGAAAAAATAGGTATTTTATTCATTTTGAAACTACTCTCCATGAAATAGAAAGGATTATACTGAATCAAAATAAAAGCAAACTGATCTCACACGAGTGAAGTTGATTAATACACACATTAAGTGAAAGTGTAGGTGTAATTACAGGTAGTCTTCTGTTCATGACCATTCATTCAGTGACTATTTAGAGATACTTTGGTGCTGAAAAAGTGATACTTATGATCCATCCTCAAAGTTCCAGCTGTTCCACACATCTGTGATCGTGTGATTGCAATTTGAGGGCTTGGAATGTAGCTAGCACTTAACAATGTTTGCAGCATTCCAGTGTCATGTAATTTCCATTTGCAGCCTTTCCTGTTAGCTATCCACAAGGAAAATTAGTAGGGAAGCTGGCAGGGAAGGTTGCAAGTCACTCCCTTTCCAGCCACTCCTGAGGAGCCTAGCTATGGAGTACACGATGTCGTAGTCCATAGCATAGTCCATAGCATAGCATCCACTTGCTGCACCCCACTCATCCACACTCCATAACATGTGCCAACTTAACCATGCTGAAGCAGCATTATGGCAGCCATCTGCACACCCTCCTGTCTGTCAGCACTATCACAACCACCACTACCCTTGACCAGGCTTGCATCTTGCCACAACAGCTACTTAGCCATCCACCAGCCTTCTTGCAAGCTGCCCAGGACTTGTGACTTCTTGCCAGCTTTCCCATTCGCGATGATTGTTGGAAGCTGGCAGGAAGTCACAAGTGGTTCCTCACTTAACCAGTTGCGATCCTCACTTGGGAACAGCAACAGGGACTGCTGGGATTACATTGCTAAGTGAGTCAGTCACGTGACCTCACACTTTACAATTGTATTGCTTAATGGTAGAAATTCCAGGCAATTGCCATTGTTAAATGAGAACTACCCATGTGAGTAAAAGGGGCAAAATACAGTAGGTCAGAAAGTAGTAGTTGTCACATAGATTGTGAATGAAAATGTCAGTTCATAGATTCATGGACCAAGATGCTACGCTCCAGGGAATGATGAAAATAGATTAAACATGAATTTTGAGAAAAATTACAAAACATTATGAATGAAAATGATCCTGTGGAAAAAGACTATTCTGGTAGGTGACCTGAATGAAACAGCGGGAATGAGTTCAGTTCACAGAAAAAGTTATATGGACTTTTAGAGACTCCAGAATGAGTAAGAATTTCTACTTAAAAAGATGTTATTTTGAATACATTGAGTACATATAAATATATTAATGCATACATGGGAAAAGAGAATGTTTTGAAAAGTATAAATGATCTGATTATGGTGAAAAATAAAATGAAATAATTAGTGATTAATTCAAGAATGATGTGGGGTTCTGAATCAGGATCTTTGGGCCTTGCCAATTCCCTTATGTTGCAATATTAGGACTGCTGTACAAAACTTACAAGATAAATGCCATTGTAACAAATATTATCCAAAATGCCTACTGCCATTTTTTCATCTTTGTTCTAGATCTATTTTCTTGGACTTTCCATTAATCCTCAGTATTGTGGATTTAGGATGCAGCTTTATATAGATTTTTCAGTTTCAACAGCTGCATATACCAAACCATATACAAATCATATACTGTATGTACTCTTTTAAATCAACAGTTAAGCAGAGTTTAATAAAAAGTTCTTTTCGCTTAGGTGTTGCATTTTTGCTTGCCGACGCTCAAGATTTTCTATTCACAAACAGCAAAATCTTTTTTGAAAGAATAAAAAGATTCATGACCATTCACAGAAATGGATTTTTACTTTTATCAGCTGCCCTTCATGGACCAAAAGAATGGGAAGTGATGTTCAGAATTCAGCAGAGGTATGAAATAATTAAATCATAATTTGAAACTTGCTCTATTACTAATGGAAAATGGATGTATCTACAACATTTGCTGATTCATACTATTTAAGATAATCTACAGCATTTGCTGACTCATACTATTTAAGATAATTTATTTCTGTTCATTCAGTGAAACCAAACAAATAATAAAAGCATTTTATATTATTATATTTCAAATTATATCATAAGTAAAGATTCTCAATCATTTGGACCATTTACAGCCACAGTTGAGATTCGGTTACTACATAGAAAATGCATTTTTTACTTGTGGATATCCTTTGGAGAGACCACGATTGGGGAAATGCAATTGGGGAAATGTCCTCCTTGGTCTCCCAGCAATTTTTGATACCATTGACCATTGTAACCTTCTGAATGGTCTCTAAAGGATTTGGGTGGGATGGTACTGTTCTGTAGTGATTTTCCTCCTTTCTAAAGTTGTGTTGCCAGTTGGTGGTGATGGGAGAGATCAGCCTAATCCTCAGGCCAAAGCATTGCCAAGAAAGGGCTGGCCCAGTGGCTGTAAGCTGTTAAATGCCTTCAAGATGAATTTGGATCTGTGACCTAATTATTTCAGGGAAATTCCATCTTTGACTTTGAGCAGGTTGCTCAGGGATGGCCCATAATCAAGTTCCTATAGAATAGAGCATTCAGGTAGGGGTAATAAAGTACACAAATCAGTAAGACCTGCCATCACTTTTTGTCCCTCTTGAGCTTTCTGGAAATTGTGAAGACCTGCACAGAAAATGCAACAAATTAAGAGTTTCCAAATATACATTCATGTAAAGCAGGTGTCTGGTTTCAGTGAGATATGCTACCAAGTGAATATTTACAAAACTTTCAGCATACATTTACCTATGTTTGATAGTGGAAAGTCTTGCTTCCAATTAAGAAGCAATCAAAATGCACAGTATAAAATCCCAGATGACAAGAGGAGCACTTTATGAATATTACAGGAGCTGACTATATCCTGATGATGTGGCAAATTTGTGTTTAAATTTGTGGGTTGAAGAGCACAAAGAAATTCAAGATTATTTTTCATTAGCGGTTTTTAAAATTAAGTTAGCAGCTAGCAAACTGTATTACAGCAACAGCTATATTTCCTAGGAAATTCAGGAATACTAATGTATAGACATATGTGAAAATAAGGCATGCAGTTCCTTCCAAAAGGGAGAGAATATAACTTATTTAGTTCTAGTTTAGAATATGGAAACTTAGAGAAAAGGATAAGAAAGATATATGTATATAGCCAACAGGACCAGACCAATCTTCCCCTAATTTCAGCCTCCAATCATGTTTCTAAGCTAGCGAGTCCAATCCCCAATCATTATTTTCATTGCAGCAGCTGGCATTTCTGTATTTTTGCTGGAATGGAAGCAATTAGACATGCAAATGTAGTTCATAAAACAGTTCAAACACACAATGTTTTCCAGGGCTTAATCTACTTTTATAAAACAGCTGTGAGTTTCACAGCTGAAAAGCAACACGGAAATATTTAAATTGATCTACATCAGGTCAAATCAGATCAGACTAACTAGTCTGATATTATAGCAGATTAAAAGTAGGATGTATATTCTTGAATACTATTGCATAGAAGTCCGGCCCTATAATACAAATATGTATAAGGAATTTATTTTTGGAAACTTGTCAACTTGGCATTTTTATTTTATCACATTAGATGTAACTTTCATTTTGTTACCTCACTAGTATTGTGATTGGCAGAAGTTAAGGGCCAGTCTACTTAAAATTCCATTTTACTTCAATTTCCTGATTCGTTTATTTAGAAATGTTGGAACTTCAACCATTATAAAACGATGACATCCTTGTACTTGGTTCTTAATAATGGTTCCTCCTATAGAATGCATTTTTATCTGAAGAAACAAAATGTCATTCTATAGTGTCATCAAAGTACATGCCTTGTTACAGAATAATATAACCAAAACAATAGTTTGCCAGATTTGGGAAGCTTTAACATTGTTTCAGTAGAGCAGGGCTATCAAATTCCCAGCCTTTACAATAGATGGAAGATAACGAAGCAGCAAAGGAGACTACAACATAGGTGAACATACAGCTAGGTATGTTTATCCTCCATTTACTTCAGGAGGGAAGAAAGAGAGTGAGTGACTATGCTATACACACACTTGTGGACTTCAACTCCCAGAATTCCCCACCCAGCATGGCTGGCTAGGAAATTCAGAGAATTGAAGTCCACAAGTATTAAAGTTGCCAAGATTGGAGACGCTTGCTTTATAGGATAACTCATAAATAATTGTGAAAGACTGGTGTCCATATTTGTTACTAACAGCTAGTACAAGGCCAGTAACGATAAGTTCAAAGAAAACAATAATGTCCAAATAACATTTATCCTGGAAAAATACAAGACTATGGCTTCTGTGGTGCACTGGTCCAGGATACTAAACTATGAATTATCATCTGACACTGATGGGCCTAGAGCAGGGGTAGTCATCCTTTTTATACCTACCGCCCATTTTGTATCTCTGTTAGTGGTAAAATTTTCTCTAACCGCCCACCGGTTCCACAGTAATGGTGATTTATAAAGTAGGGGGACAAAACCCCTACCGCTCACCATGAAAGCTGGAACGCCCACTAGTGGCCGGTAGGGACCAGGTTGACTACCACTGGGCTAGAGCATAGGCTAACATTCAGTATTGCCAGAGGCATAGAATCCAATGTAACATTTTTTTTGCATGAATGTTTGTTCAATTTTTGACATCACAACTCAAAAGGATCTCAGATCAGATCTAGGAGAGGATGGGCACAATTTTTTTTTTTGTAGAATAGTCATTGGTTAAGGTGCAGGTATGCCTTTCAGCTTTCCAACAGACTCTATTTTGTATACTAAAATGGAGACATGTGGACTAGTGTTTCATTTATTAAATAATCAACAGTAAAATAGCCTACTTCCCATTTTAAACATTTATATATCTATCTCCCACTATTTTAGCCAAGAAACATGAAGCCCCCAAATATAACTATCATATATACATTTATGTAATTTATTTATTTATTAGATTTGCATTGCCACCTATTCACCACGGAAACTTTATCTGTACTAAAAATTTAATGTACAAATCGATATTTATAAAAATTTTCTGCTTAAGGTTTTTAGGCAGTAATTTACGAATAGTTCCAGTCCATAATACTGCTGAAGCTATTAAATTAATGTTGACCATAGCAAAGGTAAGTGCAGCATTTGTATTTTTAAAATTCTACGTCTATATTATTATGTAAATATAAATATTTGCACTCAAATAGATTCATTTGTTATGCAGTACTATGAATGTAACTGCATGGTTGCTGCCACAATAGAGATTTTCAATTTCAAGACAGCTTTTTCTTATAATATTAATTATAAATGCATCCAATCCAAAATTTCCTAAAAATGAAGACAGACAAATAATACCAGGTTTTACCCAATTATTTGGTTGAGCTGACCATACACAGCATCACATTGCCCTTTGTGTTCTATACTGCAATTGTTGACTCTGCTTTTGCAGAAAACTTTTCAGTTCAGTCTGCCATCCCACCCCCGCAGACCAGAATGCCACCTCGTGATTTTGAATTACAAACCAGCAGCCCAATTCAAAATTCATTTTGAGAACAAGCCTGAAGTTACTTCAACAGATCTTACTTCTCAATATGCCTGTAAACGTGTTGCAATGATATTTTAATATATGCTTTCAAGAGCAGATAGTAACTATTTCTGTTTAGATCACATCAATATAAAATCAGAATTAAGCCTGAGAGTTCAATCACTTGAAAAATGTCAGAACTTTTTGTAGAACTTTTGCTTTGATACTGTATGGTAAAATCCTCCAACCTTTCTCAACTGTTATAACATAATACATAAATGACAACCACCAGTATAACCTATTATACTTTTCTCTTATTGGAAGAGTGCTTCAAAACCCTATCTGGACAACATTCACTACAGAATGCTAATGGCAAAGACACAGATTATGGAACAAAGCTCTGTTTGGAAAATGCTTCATCACAGTCAATTGCACTGAAGTTAAACACCATCCAAATTATTTAAAAATTTGACCATGTTTATTTTGTGCTTTAAAAAAAACATCCACAAAAAAATCAACACCTGTCTAAAAATACTCTTTAATAGATATGTTCAAAATAAAAAAATTCTCTGCAGTTAGGTATGTATTCTTCGGTATAAAGAAAGGAATATTACCCTTATATGTTTTCCTTTCAATAGTCAAAAGAAGGACAGATATAAACTACAGCTTGTATATAAGGATCTCAATACCTTCTAATTAATTTCGGGGGGAGTATGGACATTATTCAAAAGTACAGAAGAGCAGCTAATAGACATGATTCCAACTTTACAGTTTTACATCACAGTAGTAATTTATTCACTTCTATTTTTGCTTTTTGATAATTCTTATTCTGTATTTTAGCAATGTTATTTTTCTTCCTTTTGTATTACTGTACCATGGGGACTTATATCATACAGACTGAAATTTAAGTAGTACGAATCATATTTCCAACACATCAGTATATAAGCCTGTGACAAAGATAGGAATTAAAGTATAAGCAGCTTTTGTCAACTGATTCACTAGTATGAGACTTAATTCTATGGGATTAAATCTAGAACCAGCTGGTTTCTGTTAATGGAAGAAGCCCTACTATTCATAGAACAAATTACAATCCAGTTGGAACTTGTGGCTAGAAGGGGAAGGGTCGAGAGAAAGCAAACAACTTTTGCCAATTATTTTCTACTCCTTCCTTTGTGTTTCTCAAACTGTCCTGAAGAATATGTCTAATACTCTGCATCTGATTTCCATGAGATTGAAGCAGAATAGTTTTCCTCAATTTCCATCTAATCATTAATCTTGTGAATAAAATTTATTGTACCAAGTAATATCTTTTATAGTTCTTGCTTACTTTTATATTGGTATTTTATTTCATAGTATGCCTTTATAAAAAGGTAGTGGTACATGTTAGTGTGAAACTACATGGTGATAGATACCTGTGGTTCTGGTATTCAAAATATATCAAGGGCACAATGTAATCCTGGGACTAACCTATGAAGGTTTAGGAGAAAATATATATTCTAAAACTTATCTATAATTCTGTAATTATTATTCTTTTGCTTTTTTAAAAAAATTGGCATGTTAAATTTCGGTCAGTCTGTCTTGATAAGTGGAATACTGAAATAAAGATTTTATTTGATTCCAGTGGTTTCTTCAGTTGCAGCCTTTGTTTTCAATGAGTTCTTCTACCCTTGCGAGAACACTCTCCATTAAATCAAACGTGAAAAGTGCAGAGTGAAGAGCCTGAAACAGATTGACGTTATAAATTTACAAGTATCTTGGGAATGCTGATGTATCAAATCTTTAAGTAAAAAGACATACACATTTTAACAGTTTCTCTAAAACCAAATTACTTACTTGAAGCTCCATATCTTTTGAAATTCCTGACATCTTTGCTTTAGTTATCGATTGAAAATGGGTCTTTTTAGAACTGCGAGGCTCTTCTATGGAAAAGAATGAAGGCTATTAATATATAACTCCCTGTAACTTCACTTTGGCTTGAAGCTCACTATATTTAAGAATCCCCTGCAGTCAATCTTACTGGCATTTCTTAGAGGACAACTTTTAACATAGAGCTCGTTTTCATTCATTCATTCATTCATTCATTCATTCATTCATTCATTCATTCGGTTTCTACAGTCACCCATCTCAACCTAATTGACTCTGGATGGCAAGTTGTTTGGTGTGATGATGGATGATTGTAAGTGCTCCTTTTAGCATGGACGTTGATTGGGTAACTCTGGGCTATTTATTATGTACATCATCTTGAATCGTACACAATGAAGGTGTAAACCAGTAATTGTATGTGCTATTTTTTTAAATTTGGTCATTTATCTATAACTCTTTGCACAGCATTTTTCTGGGAGTACATGTAACAATTTCTTAGAGTCCTTGTAAATTTACACTTGTGTCTTCAGTAAGAATAACTAGCTCCCCTTGTTTTCTGCCAGCCTTTATTTAACTTAATTTGTTAAATTTGTATTCATTAGCTGCCCACTCTGTTACTCTTTTTAGTACTTTCCAAGCATCAGAGTCTTCACTGATAGCTGTTATCTTAGCATTATGTACTCCAAATATTTTAATTGCATTGTTGTGTTTCCTGTGAGCAGCTGGCATTTTTACAACTAACATTGAATTAATTGTTTTTGCTGTCTAAAATATGAATAGTTACCCTTGCAAAGAAAATTTCAGAGACTTGCAGAATCAACACTGACTCAAAGGCACCACCCAACACTACATTAGAGTATAAACTCTAATACTTATAATTCATATTTGGAATATATAGCCCCAAAACAAAACAAAAACTGGTATCCAAGTGAACCTCCACAGTGTGAATGGGTTAAAGGTATTGAGGTGATACGCAAAATTATAAATTCTTTCTATTCTACAGTGTTACTGGGGATTAGCAATTTTGTCATGCTGAAGTCAACTTATAATTATGCAAGATAATGAATATCTTTATATAGAGTTTTTACTCTTTATACTGCACAATGGATCATTAATAGAAGTTAACACCAGAATTCCAATTTACATATCTAATAAAAATCAGAATGCAAATCCTGTATTATTAGCAAGAATAGCCAACCCACAAAAATACATAAAATTATTCTGAACTATTTTTTAAAAAGTCACAGATTCCTGCTCTTTGTAATCTAGTTTTCTCTTATAGTGAAAGGTCATATGTATTGACATATCAGTACCTTTGCTTAAAGTCCAAAGGTCTCTGGTTCAAACCTAAAATCCATTCTTAGGTCAAGATCCTTTTGAGATTTTGACCATCTCTATTTATATATGGAAATATGCTAAGGAGAAGTTTCATATACCCTCCTTAAATAGATCTATTACTTTATTTGTTACTTAAATTTCACATAGTCCAAATACTTTAGTCTAAATTGCAGTATTCCTTTGTGCCTGTGAAAACTAAGACATGCATAAAATAATGAAGTTAACTAACCTATTTTATTTTCTTTCTTCCTTTTTATTTCTGCTTCATAGTGTGCTCTTGACATATCAAGTCCAGTGTGTAAAGGCTTCAAGAAATTTCTCTCTATCTTGTAAAGTTCTGTCCATATACAAGTCTCAGGGAAAAAAGGAAATATTAAATATGATTAGCGGCATTATAATTCACAGTATGTCTTAATAAACATTTTGTTCAATGACATAATTTGCTGGTTTTAAAAAGAAAAGGATTTAAGACCTAACCCTCATTGCTAAGCTGCATTTTAATCAGTTAATCCAGTGTCATAATATAATGTTTATTTTTACTCCTAACTGAACTTCAGATTATCTTTTCAGTTTTTGACATGTCTTCCACATCAGAATTATACTTCATTAAGTTGAGTGTAGCTCCCCTAATCATAGAATGCACTATATCCATTACTAGATTAATTTAATAAAACTGATATATCATGTCAGGTAGCAAGAACAGGATTTTTTTTCAATATTCTTTTATTAAAGATTATATTAACTATAGATTCAAGTACATAATACAGAAACATTAAAAATTAAAAAGTTCAGAAAAAGAGCAAAAAGGAGAAAAGAAAAAGCCACCTCAATTCCCAGAGAGTACAATCAACATTAACAACTTATCAGTATCTCTTAAAAAAACAAATAAACACCTTTATTGAATACCTCACTCCATTCTCTATAAGCTCATCTCTAAAACCTCATCTTTTCATATAAATCAAGGAAAATCTTTTCCAAATATATAGCAAAAGGGATATCACCGAAGAGTACTATTGGCCTTAGAAAGTTGTAAATGGATTAAGGACGCAGATGGACTTGATTTAAGACTTGGAAGTTAATTGAAAGGATCCTTTCTCCTGGGGAAATGTTTTCTTGGGAAGCTGTTATGATGCCTTGAAAGCTGAATCAGGGAGCAACACATGGTTTCTTTAAAAGAAATGTTTACTAGATGGGTAAAGTAGGTCTTTGAGTTATTTAACTCTATAATGGAATCAGAAGATGTTCTTGAAAAGGAACAAACTCCACTGAATAAAACTGAAACTGACTTACAAATGGGCTTAAAATTGTAGCCTACAAGAAGGAGAAAGAAAGAATGGATTTACAAATGAACTTGGATAAAGATTTAAACATTTAAAAGTTATCCAAAATTAGAACAGCAATGGGATAATTTTGTTTTATTTCATTTACAATGGAGATTTGCTGCAGTTGCCCTACTGGCATTACAAAAGAGACCTGACAAAGATGAGAAGAGATGAAGAGAGTAGGAAAAAAGAGATGTTAGAATTTTCTATAAGGAATTTAAAAACTTTTGAGAGAAAGAAAGATTGCAAAACTAGACTTGATCTAGTTGATCAAGATTAAAATAAAGAGTTGCTATTCCTGATTATGTTTAATGGTTTTTCTAACTGGGGCTGGACTTTGATAATCTGAAGAGAGGAAACGAGGGAATCTGTTTAAATAAAAATGGAAATATAAAAGGAAGGATTCCGACTGGGTGTAGTAGATAAAATGTATAATTCTTATTTGGTTATTTCTGATAACCCTTATAGAACAGGAGACATACTGAGCTCTTGTCAGATCACTGATCTGGATGATTAACAGAACTATGCAGTCCATAATGGCAGTTGCCCCAAGCATTTGGACAAGCTTTCTTTGGGCCAAGTAGAAGAACAGGAGTTACATTTAATTTACTGTACTCGATTATTACTTTATTGATGCCTTAGTGACAAATAGGTTGACTGAAAAAACTGCTTTAGGGCTGTAGATGATTGATCCCCAATTTAGAAAATGGTCTGAATGTCATTAAACCATATCTGAGTGCATAAACCCCCCCATAAAATCTGGAAATCCTGTAATGTAGGAAGTTTTGTGGCATAAATAAACTAGTGCTGCTTTCTAAAATCACATTAATTGAGATTTTCCATTTCTGAAATCAAGTTAAGCTTAAGGAAGAAACTTTATAAATGTTACATTTCAAAACAAACTCCAAGCATGTTCTATTTGCAGCTTTAGGAGGAAAAATGCACAGTGCAACAGGGCACAGTGCAAAATACATATTACTTTAGTGATAAGTTCTCTTTTTTGTTTTGTGCAATATTAACCTGCCATTTCCTAATTAATTAGATGTTCAGCCTCAAGTTGATATAGAACTCAGTGGCGGTTTTGGAATAACTCCTGTTCCTCAGATT